AAAAACAGCGATAAGCAGACAAGCCACCATATGGCCCTTCCTAAGCTTTCTTGTCCTTTGTTTTCCTGGACTTTCTCCCACTTGCAAGACCTAGTTTTGAGACAGGCTATTCTTTAAAGGCTTTTGAGTAAGCCAAATACTGGAGGATTGGTTGTTTTTGTTTTTAATGTTGATACAAGAATATCAACCCCATGGACTACTGCTAAGGCAGGAATCCTGATCTAATTATTTGCATTTAATAAGGCAATAATGTTGCAGTTACTCTGTGGGATGAACAATGAACCACTCACTATGCTAGATGCTGGTGGTTCACTTAAGTTCGTGAGGGAGCCCACAGGCTGGGGCTGTGGTTTCTGCAGAAGTAGGTGACCCATAAATCCAGTTGTGCCTAATTTCTCAACAGTAAAAACAGATGCTGGGAAATATTCCATAGATTGACCAAGTGGTAGAGGCAAGGGCGACTCATACCCAAATCACAGAATCCTTCATGCTGTCCCTCAAATGAAGACATTTCCAAAGAGTGACTCCATTATTTACATTTAAATAGAACTCAGTGAAGTTCCAAGGCCTGAATAAAATGGAGGACTCCATTCCCAGGTTTTGTTTTCTTTTTGAATTTCAGAATTGGGGTTGGGGATGGACTAGACACATGCTTTTGACTAGTGTGGAATCAGAAATTTCTCTTTTTTTTAATCCTCACCTGAGGACTTTTTGTTGTTGTTGTTGTTCAGATAGAGTGGGAGGGAGAGAAAGAGAGAGAAACATCGATATGAAAGGGACACATCAAGTGGTCGCCACCCACACGACCCAACCGGGGCCAGGGACAAACTGCAACCGAGGTACGTGCCCTTGCGGGAACCGAACCCGGGTCTCAGGACCGCAGGCCGACGCTCTAACCGCTGAGCCAAACCGGCCAGGAAAGAAATTTCTCTTAAGAAATCCAATCTCTGCAGCACAAATTGGTCATTTAAATCAATGAAACCAGGGGTCAGCAGTGACAAACTGTACCTTTGATTTGGTGATACAGTCATTCCATTCCCCTCATGGGCCTCCAAGGGCTCCAAGTTTCAGGAACAAAGATGTAATCACTAAACTATGCATACTGATGAGATTATAGCCCCAGGATTTATGAAATTGAGATAACCAGAAAATTAATGACTTCTGAAACTCCTGCTGCAAACCACCATAACATTCAAGGACATGCCCAGTAAACCAATTCCAATCAAGTCACTTTAGCCTGTGTCCTGCAAAGTGGAAGGCAAATCCACATCACTTTCAAATTGAGAGAACCCTTTTAGTAAATGGAGCTTGTGGAATGCAAAATATCCAAACTAAGATGGTTTGGAAAAATCAGACCACAAGACTGCTAACACCAGAGCAAAGGCAACCACTCCCAGGACACTTCTCCGCTCGGAACCGAGGTTCATGCGAACTGTGGGGTGTAATTCAGGTAGACCAGGGGCACAAGAAACAAATGTAATTTGAAAAGCTTTTGCTTCAACAAAGTACATTCTTATGATTGTATTTCTCAAATCATTTATTTTATACTTCTTAAGGTAGATCCAAAGAATTGATAAAAATGAACCAAGAAGCCTGGCCAGTGTGACTCAGTGGTTGAGCGTCGACCCGTGCACCAAGATGTTGCCAATTCAATTTCCAGTCAGGGCACAGGCCCAGGTTGTGGGCCAAATCCCCAGTGGGGGACATGCAGGAGGCAACCAACTGATGTTCTCTCTCATTGGTGTTTTTCTCTCTCCCTCTCCTTTCCTCTCTAAAATCAATAAAGGAAAAAAAACTATTGAAAAAAAATGAACCAAGAAAAATACTTCATCTTCACTAGGGTAATGATTAAATTATGATTATCCATAAATGGAATACCACCTGGTCATTAAAAATGAGGAAGATCACCCAGTTGGCATGGCTCGGTGGTTGAGCTTCGACCCATTCACCAAGAGGTTCCTGGTTCAATTCCCGTTCAGGGCACATGCCCATGTTTTGGGCTTGATCCCCAGCAGAGGGCATACAGGAGGTAGCCAATCAATGTTGATGTCTCTCATTGATGTTTCTATGTCTCTCATTGATGTTTCTATCTCTCTCTCTCTCTCCCTTCCTCTCTCTAAAATCAACAAAAACAAACACATTTTTTAAAAATGGGGAAGATCCATATGAACTGATAAAAATTGATATATATATATTTACATACAGATATTTGTATTTTAGTATATTCATTCTTATTTGAAGGGTTAATATACATACATTGTGTACAAACAAATTATTATAAAAATTAACCTTCTGGGAGATGAGAATGGGCATAGGTAGCAAAGAATAAACTTTATTACTTATATATTTTTGTTCAGTTGGTTTTTTTTTTTTTTTTGGCATGTACTATGAAAATGACTAAGAAATATTTTTTTCCACTGGATCACCCCATAGAACATCTGCAGGGTGTTTCTGCCCCTTTTAATCCTGTTTCCACCATATTTTGCTTTCTTACCTGTGAAATGGGGACAACCCACACGCCTGCTAGGAGACTCAAAGCAGAGAAAGCAAGCAGGCAGGCAGGATGCAACGGGCACAGAAAGGGGACAGACCAGAAGTGAGATCTCATTAGCAGACAGAGGAATAACGGTTATAATGCTACCTAATAGGAATGAGTGCCTAAATGTGCCAAATGTTTAATCCTGATAACTCAATGAGAAAGATACTATCCTCAATTTACAAATGAGGAAACTGAGGCACGGAGAAGTGTCTTCCCTAAAGTAACAAAACAAAGGCATAATGGAGTCAGAATTCAGCCACTCGGGATCTGCACCCTCAGCCACTAGGCTGTGCTGCTTCAAAACAAATGAAAAGAATGATATTGTTTTTCCCCCAGATTGGTAAAATTTCAAAATATTGATGGATCAAGTGGGAATGAGCATTTCAGGAAACAGGTACAAATGAACTTTTTGGTAGAAGTATAAATAAAGGCCATCTGGCAAGAGTCACCAAAATTTAAAACAGGTGTCTAACTTTTGACCTGGCCATTCTACTTCCAGGAACTCATCCTAGAGCAACACAAGATGTCAATGCAGCATATTTTAATGAGGGGTGGGAGCCATAGGTAGGGAAATTACTAAATACATCACAATATATTCAAAATATTAAATAGTCTGTGTCCCCTAAAAATAAAGGTCAACCTATGGATACAGACATGGAAAGAATTCTGAAATATAAGTAAGTGAACAACAATTATCACAGAGCAATATGTACAGTATGGCCCTAATTATATAAAAATATGGTGTGAGCGTCACATCATTTCTTCTGAGAAGAATGACGTTACTTTCCTTTTACATTCTTTTACACACACAAAAAAAAAAATTCAGAAAGACACTGTAAAAAATAGTCATGTTATGTATAAATCATATAATAAAATACTTATTTCAAAAAGTCACAAATACAAGTTGTATAAAGTTAGTTTGGAGTCCAGTACCTCTTAGATATATTATTGCAAGTAACATCTATTTTCATGTTCTCTCCAAACAGATGTTGTTCAAACCCAGTGAAGGTTTTATAATTTCATATTTGATAACAAGGGAACAAAACTGACAATAAATAGTCCAACAATAATTTCTCAAAATACTAAGTGGTAAATTCTGTTCCTAGATGCAAAACTCAGGCTACCTGAAGATTTCACTGAAGTCAGTAAAAAGTTACAAATTTTGTATTATCATGTTCAAAATCCTCATTGTATTTTTCTCAAAGTGATGATACTTATAAAAGCTCAAGATTAGCCTTGGCTCGTGTGGCCCAGTTGGTTGAGCATCGGCCCATGCACCAAAAGATCTCTGGTTCGATTCACTGTCAGGGCACGTACCCGGGGTTCGGGTTCTATTCCCAGTCAGAGTGTGTAAGGGAGGCAACAGATAGATGTTATTCTCTCACATAGATGTTTCTCTCTCCCTCTCCCTTTCTCTTTCTCTAAAATCAATTTTTAAAAAGCATATTTAAAAAAAAAGTTAAGATTAAAAGAAAAATTGAAAGACCAAGTAAGTCAACAAACCGATTTCATTTTAAGCAGAACATATAAGAGACACAAAGCACTCTGTTTGCTTCTCTTTTTAGAAACTACCAGGGCACTTTGTCAAGTGGAAGCAGCAACCAGACCACTGGTTCGCAAACCTGGTGTGCATGAGCATCATGCAGAGGCTTCTTAAATACAGGTCCCTGGGCCCTGGAGACTCTGAGCTCTCATTCCTGAGTCTAACAAACCTACATTTAAAAAAAAAAAAATCCTCAATAGAGGATATTTTTCTATTTATTTTCAGACACTGTGGGAGGGATGGAGGGAGGAATGGAGGGAGGGAAGCATTGATGTGAGAGACACACTGATTGCTGCCTCTCCCACGACCCCGACCTGAGCCAGTGACCGAACCACAACTGAGGTACGTGCCCTTGACCGAAATCAAACCTGAGACACTTTGATCCATAAGCCAATGCTCCAACCGCTGAGCCAATCCAGTCAGGGCTGAACCTGCATTTAAACAAGATGCTTGATGATTTGATGAGGTGGTACAAGAACCCTGCTGCCTCTGGTTAGAAGCCTGACTCTAGGCAGCTCCTTCACCTCTTTAATATCCTTATCTGTCAAGTCAGTCAATTGGACTGATCATCTCTGAGGGTGCTTAAGCCCTAACAAGACTGTGATTGACCCTAGATGTACAAGAAATGTAGTTTCAGTGAGGAACTTAGTCTTCATGCTAAAATCAATTTTTGCAAGTCACTGGGTTTCTGTTTCTTTGCCACCCTCTAAAAAGTCTGCTTTTATAAGTTCCATTTCTGGGAGCATCTGAGTAGAAGAATTCTGAAACTGACATTTATGCAAATTTAGTTGATTTTCTTCATGCAAAGAGGGAAGCTTCCAGCAATCCTGAGAGGTGCTGCATATACATGATATACGATAAGACCCCCTTGGTTAGGAAGTGACAGAAATATTGCCAGAGCATTAGGCAAGCCCCAAATCCTCCTGTAAAATTCTCATCGGTGGAGCTGGAATACTCAATAGGAGGTTTTAATGGTGGTTGAACTTGAAGAGTAAGAGCTGGATTTCCTGGAAGATTTCTTCGATGTGAGGGATACTTGCATCCGCTTTACCGTCCGGACACTCCGACAAAGAAGAGCGTTCTTTGCATGATTCCTAAAGTCTTCTGAGACAAAGTAATAGACAAAGGGGTCGATGCAGCTGTTGAGGGTTGCAAGGCAGAGGGCCAAGATGTACAGTCTGTAGACGTGGCTCTGGCCCCATTGTTTAATCATGAAATAATGCACTACAAGCAGAATGTTGCTAGGAGTGAAGCAGATAAGGTACATGACCAGGACAGTGACAATAAGTTTGATGGCTCTCTTCCTCTTCTTTCCTGAGTTTTCATCGATGGCAGAAGATTGAAGTGTTCTGATCATCAGCACATAGGCAGAAGCCATGAGGACGGCTGGGAACAGGAAGACTCCAATGGCCAGAGAAAGGAAATAATTGAACATGTCCCCCACCAACACCTCCTTGGGTAAAACATCATGACAGGTTGTGATGTTCAGGACTGGAATGTAACTGGTCTGCTTCACAACATACAAGGGGATGGTAACCAGCAGAATCAGCACCCATATTCCCAGGGAGATACCGATGGCAATATTCGAGTTCTTCCTGGTGTGCACCATGGGGTTCACGATAACCCAATACCTCTGCACGCTGAGGCAGGTTATAAAGAGAATGGAGCAGTACATGTTGCCATAGAAAAAACCAACAAGTACCTTGCAAAGAGATTCCCCATAAACCCAGTTGTTGCCATGTACATGATAGGCAATCTTCAAAGGGAACCAGATGATAGAGAGGAGGTCTGCCAAGGCCAGATTGGCCATATAAACCACAGCAGGGTGCTTCTTCTTTGTTCGGAAAAGAAAGACCCACAGGGCCATGCCATTACTTGGCAAACCAACCACAAATACAATCGTGTACACAGTTGGAAGAAAGACAGTAGTAAGTTTTCCAGTCAGGAGGGAGGCAGAAAACTCATCCACAGAAAAGCCTGGTTCCACTGTAACTCCTTTTCCAGCGATTCGAGATGAGTCATCATTTATACCAATTAGACTTCTTCCTTTAGAGGATTTGTTGACTCCTGTACAAGAAAGGCGAGGCAGACAAGGGTCAGTTCAGAAATCAATGTTTCAGCAGTAATGTTAGTATGCTCAAGTAAAAGCACTTTAAATAAAGACAGGAGTACACAAGATGCTTAAGGGGCTTTCTTTGGGTGATTAGATTAGTGGGGTTTCTGTTGCCTGTTCTTTTTTAACTGAGGAAATTTTCAGAGCCTTTACTACACCAAAAGACTGTGTGTCTTCAAGAAAGGCTAGAACAGGGGCGCCAAGTAAAACTCTTCTGGAATTCAGGCATGTTGGGTGGTCACGTGATGAATGGCGAGCTCATTTTCTGCCTAATGAAAAGCTACAAGAAATCATTTCTGTGTGAGCATATATTAACTGTATTATCATATCTTTAACATTTTAAGAGAAGCATAAATGTGAATTTTTATATAAAATTTCTTAACATTTTAAACAACATTAACCAAAATGGGATTATTTCGATTTTAAAAACCTCTGTAACCATTATTATTGCCCCAAATTCCCTGATCACATGCCTTTTCTGTAAGATTAGTGTTTCCTGGAATGTTGCCTGGTTTTTGTTTCCTTGCTTTGTTTATGCTTTATATCGAATATAACATTGATTTTTATGAATCTTGATAAAACTGACAGTATTCAATTTAATTTTACAAACTGTCCACACTGTTTTTATAATGGCTATCTCACTATGACTAAGACAGGATCCAGCCTGGCCTATCAGTCATTCCTTATCCCAAATCCCAACACAGGGAGATTCCCAGGAGCACATGGACATTCCCTCTCCACCCACAGGGCCAGCCTCAATCACGGCAGGGATTCCCCCAGCTTCTGTGTGGGCCTCCTGGAGACCTGCCCATGGAGGCCAGCGGGCAGGCAAGTTTTCTGGCTTCAAGATGACTGACGGCTGGATGCACCAAAGATAAATTTGTGTTCTCACTTGCAAGCTTGCAACTTATGCTCTCATCCCCAGATTATGAATTGAACTTTAGAAACCACATATGAATGATATATTCACCCTACAACCTGCCCTAATCAAGTGTTCATGGACCCACAGAAGAAAATGAGGGACAATCTGAGGACACTGAAGAATCTTTAGTTCTGGAGAAGAGCAGGCCTTCCATCGGCAGAGAAAACCACAAAGTACACCACAGTATGCCAGGAGGATGTTAAACTTACTCCCTAGTTTATCTGATACCCATAATAGAAAGAAAAGTTTCACACAATGATAATTACCCTTATTTCGGAGGGAACATTCTGACACTTTCTATTGTGTTCTGGTCCATTCTTATCAAAAGCTGGCTTCCACCATCTACATTGACGTCATGAACCACTTACATGCTTTTCAAAACCAGTGAACAGTGATCACCTGTGATTCACTTTAAGAGAACAGTACCAAAGTATTTAGAGATGGGTGAGGTCTCTGTGGAACCTGGCCCCAGGCCCCTAATGTTAAGAGTCTCTCTCTCTTAAAAAAAAAAAAAAAAAAATACACACACACACACACACACACATACACACACACACACACACACACACACACACACACATAGAGATATCTATATATAGATATATAGATAAAGATATAAAGTGAAGTACTGATACATGCTACCTCATGGAGGAAACTTGAAAAGATTTTGAGAAGTGAAAACAGTCAGTTACAAAGCAACATGTACTGCATAATTTCATTTGTATTAAATGTCCTAAATAAGCCACTCCATAGATAAAAAGTAGATTAGTGGTTGCCAGGGGCTGGGAAATGAGAGGCTTCGGGTGCTAAAGAGTGGGGCGAGGTGTTCTCTGGGGATAATATAAGTGTCCTTAAGTTGACTGAGGTAATAAACATACAACTCTGAATATTCTAAAAGCTATTGAATTACAGATTTCAATATATATTTTTTGTTTTAATATATTATTATTGCTTTTTAGAGAGAGAGGAAGGAAGAAGGAGAAAGAGGAAAACATCAGTGTGAGAGAGAACGATTGATCAGCTGCCTCCTGCATGCCCCTCACTGGGGACAGAGCCTGCAACCAGGCATGTGCCCTGACCAGGAATCGAACCTCTGACCTCTTGGTGCATGGGTCAATGCACAACCACTGAGCCACACAGGCTGGGAATACTTCAACTTATTAATAAAGCTGTTAAAAAAGTAATATGGGAAGAGGGCAGGAAGTAGACTGGGGCATAATTATTAAAGCTGAGGGAGGGATTCACTACAATATTCTATTTTTATATTTAAAATTTTTCATGAAAATAAGCACATACCAGGTCAGAAAGGTTCATGTTAAAAGAGATAAAAATATGTTTTAAATAAGAATACTAAAATAAAGAGGGGGAGTTCCAAAATGGTGGTAGAGTGAATGGAAGCTACACAGACCATCTCCCAGAATGAAACTGGAATTACAACTAAAATAAAGACAGTCTGGCCAGTGTAGTTCAGTGGTTGTGCATCGACCCATGCACCAAGAGGTCACTGGTTTGATTCCCGGTCAGGGTACATGCCTAGGTTGTGGGCCCAATCCCCAGTGGGGGGCATGCAGAAGGCAGACAATCGATGTTCTCTCTCATTGATGTTTCTATCTCTCTTTCCCTTAGAAAAAAAAATAAAGACAAATCATTAGAGAAAAGCAACAGAAAAGCAGCTGGAGAGGACCCATATAATCAGGGATAAAACAAAAAGACACTAAATCAAGACTGGTAGGAACAGCAGAGGTGCGAGAGGGTGAACTGGGAGCCCACAGAGAGCAGCTGTTTTAGCTGTAAGCAGCTCCCTTGGGGTTAACATCCCAAGCTGGCTCCACAGCACAGAGGGCTGGGTTAGAGCACTAAATTAGCTACATCCACTCACCATGGGCTCCAGCAGAGGGAGGGCAAACTGGACTGGAACTATGTGGAGACTCAGGAGCTTGGAGAGCTGGAAGGACGATGGGAAGTTTTTGCTGAATCACTCCCTCACTGGACAGTAGCCATCTTAGTCAAAGAGCCCCTTCCCAGAGCCCCAGGAAGAACCAACAGCCCCTCCCTCAGGAATTGAACACCACACAGCCAGGCCCGAGAAATGCAAATTGAGGCTTATTAACACCCAGCAAGCATCTGTCCAACCCTCTGGAAATCCTCTTACCCTGAACACCTGAGGGAGTTTTTCATTCAGCTGAGGACTTCAACCCAAGGCTCATCAAGTAACTGAGACTAATAGCCTGCAGGCAAACAGCTGGAGGATAACTGAACCTTTCCGGGCTTCAAATTAACCCAGGAAAGTAAGACTTGACAATGGTGTTTAATGAGAATCCTCCCTTACTCATCCAAATCCAGAAGAGGGAGCCAAAATCAGTGGAACACCAACACCCACAGGGAAAATTTGGCAGGCTCCAAACCAACTGAGAAAGCCAAAATGGTGAAACAAAGAAACAATACCAAATGAATGAACAAGAGAACTCTACCAAAGAAGAAATAAATGAAATGCAGTTAAGCAAGTTATCAGAGGTAGAGTTCTGAGTGATGATAATGAGAAAGCTCAACAGCATAAATAAAGATCTCAACTGCATGAGTAAAGACATAGAAACATTGAAAACCAACCAATTGGAAATGAAGAATGACATAGCAGAAATAAAGAACACTTTGGAAGGAATAACCAGCAGAGTAGAGGAAGCAGAGGCCCAGATCAGTGAATTAGAAGACAGGGTAGAAAAAAAATCACCCAATCAGAAAACCAAAAAGAAAAAACAATTGAAAAACAGGAATACAGCCCTGGCCTGTTTGCTCAGTGGTTAGAGCGTCGGACTGCGAACCAAAGAGTCCCAGGTTCAATTCTGGCCAGGGGCAAGTACCTCGGTTGCAATTCGTCCCCAGCCTCTGTTGGGGTCGTGCAAGTGGCAACTAGTCAATGTGTCTCTCTCACATCGATGTTTTTCTCTCTCTCTGTCTCTCTCTCTCCCTCTTACTCTGACTGAAAATAAATGTAAAAATATCCTCACGTGAGGATTAAAAGTAATAAAAATAAGAAACAGGGAGACAGCTTAAGAGAACTGTGGGACAATATGAAACATAGCAACATCTGCATCATAGGTCTTCCAGAAGAAGAAGAAAATGAGCAAGGGTTAGAGAATATATTTGCAGAAATAGTGACAGAAAACTTCCCTAACTTGATGAAGGAAAAAGGCATTCAAATTCAAGAAGCACAGGGAACCCCAAGTAAGAAAAACCTGAACCGGCACACACTAAGACACAATAACTAAAATGCCAAAAATTAGACAAAGAGAGAATCCTAAAGGCAGCAAAAGATAAGCAACAGGTTACCTACAAAGGAACCCCCATAAGGCTAACAGCTGACTTCTGAACAGAAACACTACAGGCCAGAAGGAAATGGTATGAAGTAATCAAGGTACATGAAAAACAAGGATCTGAATCCAAGACTACTGTATCCAGCAAGGCTATCATTCAAAACAGAAGGTGAAATAAAGTGCTTCCCAGGCAAAAAAAAAAAAAAGGCTAAGGGAATACATAAGCACCAAATCAGCACTGCAACAAATGTTAAAAGGACTGCTGTAATTAGCAGAAGAAATAGGAATAAAAATATAACCACAGTAAACAAAAGTGACAATAAATAAGTACATATCAATAGTAACCTTAAATGTAAATAGAATGAACTCTGATCAAAAGACACAGAGTAGTTGATTGGATAAGAAAGCATGACTCATATATATGTTGTTTACAAGAGAACCACCTCACAACAAAAGACTCACATAGGTTGAAAGTGAAGTAATGAAAAAAAATCTTCCAAGCAAATAGAAAGGGAAAAAAGAGCTGGGGTAGCAATACTCATATCTGATATAATAGACTTCAAAATGAAGGTCATAACTAGAGACAAAGAAGGACACTACATAATATTGAATGGATCTACCCAACAGGAAGATATAACCTTGTTAAACATATATGCACCCAAATATAGTAGCACCAAAATGTATTTTAAAACTTCCGGAGGACTTCAAAGGAGAAATTGAC